CCGCAAAAAGACAGGCTGAGGTCCCCTCCACGTGCCCTCACCCGCTCCCCTCTTTTTATTTTTACTATGCCCATTTGTCCAGCGCCCCAAGCCCCCCAACGCATTGAAATTTTCTCATTTTTAATTATTTACTTATTTGATTTACTAAAAAAAAATATGAAACTAAAATTACTATAAATAAAGTTGGTCTTGTAATCTTAATCAGTATATGATCATAAAATGCTTATCAATTAAATTAAAGAAGTCAATAAGCACCTTTCATTGTCTGATCAGTTGAATTATAATAAAAACACAAGATTAAACTTTGACAGCTGCAGTGTACGAATTACATCTAATATGGTAGGCTTTTTAGGGATACCAAATATTGGCCCTCTCATAGTCTCACTATGGACTGCGAGTCGTCGTAATTTATCTATCTATTATCATATTAAATCAGATAAAAATACGAGGAAACTTCGTCTTTTTTAAATAAGTGAAGCTATTTCCGATGTAACAGTGCGTTCTCTAATTGCATTCCAAAAATAGCAATGAAAACCTCTACTCATTAATCATTATATTCATTAATTGCTCAAATGCACATGAATTAATGAATCACAACGCACTACGCAAATAACTATTTATATTTTTCATTACACCACCTTTTTAAAAATAAAAATAAAAATAAATCCATTAGTGTATGTTTTAGTTAAATTTCATCACAATTATATTCTTCTTTTCTTATTTATTAAAATGCCCATTATTATATTAATGGAAACGAAATTTCCATGTCATTAAGTGATTAAGTTTTATGATTTATCCATAAATATACTATATACTATTAAAAATTGCACTATATTGTATTAAAATTACATTTTTAAAATACGAACAAATTATTAGAATGTCTTTTTTTTTTTTCAAATTAGATCATATCTATTAAATTTTTTCGAATAAAAATTTAAAATTAATTCTTAACTTTCTCTTAAAAATAAAAGTTCTCATTTGAATGTATTCCTGACATCGTCAATATCAAATTGACACTCTAGAATAGGTATTTAAGCTCCCAACAACAATCATGGTGATGAGGAATTCCTCCTAGCTAGATGTGGTTGGATTGGATGATCAAACTAAGACCTAAAGATGGCTTTTTGACGTACAATAGATATATTAGCCATGTTTGGTAAATGACTATTAGCTGTTATTAGCTGATTGCGTTAATTAGAGGGTATAACTAACATTAGCTGTTGTAGAAAAATGTTTGGTAAATTAGCTGTTAGCTGATTGCTGTTTGGTATAATTTTTTTTCTGAAAAAAACTAATTGAAAAAGTTGATTGGAGTAGCTTTTTAAATTTTAGCATTTGGAGTTGTAAAAAAAAAAATTAATCAAACACTTATATTAATATTTTAAATAAATCATACAATTAATAGTGGTTAAATAAGTCAAAATTGACTTATAGATCAATTTTTTACCAAACAGGACCATTATCTAAAATCTACTTTATTAATTCAAGTCAAACCTTAAAAATTATTCCTAAAAAAATCCCAGCTAATACAATGGAATGTTTCAAAATTATATATGTTATATGAGCTAGTCTACATTTCAATTCTTAAATCTACATCATTCATGGTGTTTTTGTCAATTAATTCGGGATAAGATTGATCAATTCACAAATAATTAATAAAAAGTATATATGAAAGATTATGACGCTTCACTGCAAGATAAGAGTAAAATATCTACAAATTAAATAATTATAGATTTCAGGGTACGGTTTACTATAGTTACAAAAATTTGTTACTAAACTAAATACTTACACATTGCAATAATTTATCTACAGATTTTTTCGTAGATAAATTTAATTTTTCTTGTTGTGCTTTATGTTTATCGCACAAAATAGCATGATAAAATTGAATAATGCGTTTGGTTTCAATTAAAAGTGTAAACTAATAATTAAAATATACATTAACTAATGAATTTCTGTCAATTTCCATTTGACTATAATATTAAATTGAATGATATTTTTCAGTTCAACTAAAAAGTTAAAATGATAATTTGACTATATATTAATAATTTATATTACAAAAGTACAAAATGATTGAAACAAGTACCATTTTTATGCTCTATGGCATCAAACTTGCGTTGGATAACTATGCAATTGAAAAAAAATGGTACAAATTCTCGAAAACTGTTGAGTTTCGTCATATAAGTAGTTGAACTTGAAAAACTTCCTCAAAGGTTTTTTTTTTTTTTTTTTTTTTTTTTTTTTTTTTTTTTTTTTGTCGGGAAAACTCTATTCTATTCAAAAATGTATATTTTGCATGAAATAAATCTCTTGTGATTCTAGTTATCAAAGAATTATAAAGAGTTGATCGGCTCAAATCAAATGTTGTGTATTTCTCATATGTTATTGAAAAATAACATGTCTTAAAGTGTAATAGAATGAAGCGCAACAGAGCATCATCACTTGTCTTTGAGATTAGTATCCGAATTGAGTTCATTGAGTGGGCCCCGTGGGGTGTGGTATAGTACAAGGATAGTTGCGGTATAGTACAGGGGTAGTTTTGTAAATATACCGTACATTAGAGTTACATATAAATATGATACCTCTTGTATACATAGGTATACTATCAAATTACATAAATTTTGTGTTCTTTTTCGCTTTTTGTTTGTTTTTAATTTCTTGATTTCGTTTTCTCAATATTTTTTTTTGAGTACTACTGTTCTAACTTTCTCAATTTACTGAAACAAAAAGAGTCAAAACTACTTTCACTATGAATGAATTCACAAAGAGTCAATACCGCTCCCATAAGAGCCCAATTTATGACCTCCCATTTGAAAAAGTCATTTCGTGCCATTAGACCATATAGTCATAGACAATATTATAATTATGATTACTAAGTTAATTGTTGATCCAACTCGACCGGATCCATGGTTACGTTGTCTAGTTCGTGGTGCCCTGCAAGTGCTCCAACTAACGATAATGGAGTCGTATGAGTTGGTGCAAATTTTGTCGTCCATCGGGGCATATATTAATAAATAAATAAATAATTAATTAATTAATTAATTGAAACAGCCATTGAGCAGATAATGTTGATAATCTCGAAATTAGCGTCACCATCGACCAATCAGTGCAAGTCTTTCGGACATAAACAAAGCTATTAACGTTCCCTAATCTTTGCTTAAATCCGTGGCCCCACCATTGTCTGATCTGTTTGCCTGAACAATATTCTACCGCTGGATGTATTTTCTTTTCATGTCTGATGAATTCTTAACGGTGAAGGAATTCTCTATCGTTGAATTCATTCACAGCTCAAATTTGATTTTACGAGTTAATTCTAGAAATATTCCACAGATTATTGATGTTTTTAAAATTTTAACTTTTAATTTGATCATAAATTATAATTAGTGTTTAGATTATCAAGTTTGTTATAAATTTGGTCCTTTGTTAAGAAATTTGTTTATAAAGCATTAGTTATGAGAGTAAAAATGTAAAATCTTGCATTTAACGCCTTTCTTTCTCCTTAAAAATGGCTTTCAACCTCTCAAAAAGAATTTCAATCGCATGGGTAACTCAATTGATCATATAGGTGAAGTTTGAGAACAATTATTCGAGATTGAGTCTCAAATAAAAAAGGTCTAACCTCTGTATTCAACTGAATTACCATAATTTATATCATCTCAGATGCTGTTGGACCAGGGCGTAAGGGCCATTGGAATGGGAGATTCAACCTTTTGGGAACAATAAAAAATGACTTTCAATTTCTATTTTTTAAAATAAATCTCTTAATGGAGAACTAAATTTTGATACAAAATTTATAATTCCTAGACCAGTTAGAATCAAATTAAAAGTTGATGAAATTTTTTGAAAAAGTCAATAGTATTTTCTGAATTAACTCTTGATAAGACGGACGCTATTTCTATATGCCTGATTTATAAATCAATTACTTTTTTTAGATTTACAGTATATCATGACTTTTTTACTTTGAATAATTTTATATTACTTAAATTTTATGTACTTAAAAAAAAGGAAAAAATAAAATTGAATTGCCTATTAGAGGTATGGTTTTAGCAAGTACCAAATCAGTATGCATAATGCCTAATAGAGCAAGTCCAAGGTTTTAATGATGTTTGAGTTCACAGTACGTATTAATAACAGGGAGGACAAATAATTGTTTGCTTTCTTTTCGTGCATTACTATAGTAGTTAGTAATGACTTTCGTGACATTTTTATTACAATAATACATATTGATTAAGATTGATCGATGGGATTACACCACCGGTTATTTGTTAATGTTTTTATTTTTTAATAATTTTGGTTGTGCTAGGTAATCGATGATTAGAAACAACATTAATGTATTTCCACATCCTATCATTTTCAAGATTAAAATATGAGGATTAATGACTTTGGACAAAACTACTTATCATTTATTTACTTTAATTAATATTTCTCCCTTTTTTTTTATCAAAACAATTATTAGATGAGATTAGTGGTTCAATTATACTCCGTAATAGGTAATGTTAATAATAGTGTTATTGATTAATTAGATATTAATGGTCTTGTGGTCAAACAGCATAACGGAGACATATGCTACATTGTAACAGAGAAAATTAAAGAATAACCGTCAATTGTGCTAGAGAGAGATCTATGATTAACATTCAAGACCTTCGACAACAATTTTTTGTCTAGTGAGGTTAAACTTCTAACTACAAAAAGATTTCAATATTAATATAAAGAACTATACAAAGACCTTATATTTTGTATAATCTTTTAAAATATGTACTGAATTGAATATAATAAAATAATTTTAACATCTTTATTATTTACATACCTACCACTAAAAAAATTGTGTCAATCAATTCACCAAAATTGTATTTGTTGATCTACTATTAATATATTTCATTTGAAAACTATGCATGAAAGAGAAGCACCATCAATCCCTCAAAGTGAGGTCAAATAATATAAACTTTATTATACGAATATTTACTCATTTGCATTTTAAACGTGTCTGCATATTTAACTTGTTATATGTGAATAATTTTTAATAAATTATTTTTTTTAAAAATGTCTACATTTTCATTCTACATATTTAACCAAAGGGTATCTCTCCTGAGTCATGGCTGGCTAGTAATAATAACATGATAGCAACTATACAAATTATTAGCAAAGAAGCTTCTGAAGATAGAATTGAAGATTGCGTTTGCGTTTAAGCAGATAGTGAGACTATATATTTTACGCTCAATAAATAAAAATTACCAGTAATCACCGCAAGAACACGAACCATTCTCGAAATGGTGGAAGCGATTCCGGTCTCTAACAATGAGTTTCCTGCCTGTGATCTTGGAGATAAGTTTGGACACGGCATGACAGTCTTGGCACACCCGAAGGTTTTTGACAATCTTGATTGTAGTTCCGGGCTGAGTGCTTATCAGTCCAAACGCAATGGCAAGTTTTTCACTGTGAACAGCCAGGGATTTCTGCTTCTCTGACTCCCCGATGTCATGCAATACAATGTCGGTTTGTGGAGTGTAACCATGAGTCTCGAGCCACCTGTTGATTTCCTCGAGCATAGAGTAAATCTCTTTGGTCTTAGGGTGTTTCATGTCGCCGGCAAGGAACTCATGTACCTTGTTATTCACCTCAATTGAGCTGCAACCTGGCTCCTTCTCGACCCCGCTTTTCTTCATCATTGCCCTCACCTTTGCAGCCCCATCCCAATCTCCAGCTGCAGCGTATATGTTGGAGAGCAGAACATATGTTCCAGAATTTGCGAGATTGCATTCTACAAGGAATTCCACAATTTTCTCTCCCAGCTTGATGTCTCTATGAATCCTACAGGCACCAAGTAATGTTCCCCATAAAACCGGATCAGGGTCTATCTTCATACTTCTAATAAACTCGTATGCCTCTTGTAAATGTCCAGCTCGGCCAAGAAGATTTACCATGCAGCCATAATGCTCAATCTTTGGTTCAATTCCATACTCCTTCATTGAATGGAAATAACCCCATCCTTCATTAACCAATCCTGCATTGGCACAAGCATTTAAGATGCCAATAAAGGTTATATCAGATGGTTGGAGTTTCAATCTGCAGAACTCACGGAACAACTGCAAAGCTTCTTGGCTAAATCCGTGCATGGCATACCCTACAATCATCGAGTTCCACGCAACAACATCCTTAACATTCATATGATTAAACACCATCCTTGCATCCTCCAAACTTCCACACTTGCTATACATGTCAATCAGTGCTGTGCCTACACGTAAATTAACTGGAATCCCATTATTTTTCACATAAGTATGAACCCACTGGCCAGATTCCAGTGCTCCCGATTGACCACAAGCAGAAAGAACTGCAAGCACAGTGACTTCGTTAGGTCTTACATTAGATAATAACATGTGTCTAAAGAGAGCCAATGCCTCGTTTGGCCTCCCATATTGAGTATAGCCATCAATCATAGCATTCCAACATACAACATCCCTCTCTTCCATCCTATCAAATAACTCCCTTGCCTTGTCCACATCCCCATTCTTTGCATACCCAGCAATCATTGTCGTCAAAGAAACCAAACTCCTTTCAGGCATCGTATCAAACAGCTTGCGGGCCGAGACAAGATCACCACCTCTTGCATAGACATCAACAAGAGAGGTCCTAACATAAGTATCCGAGTCACACTGAAACTTGAGGGCTTGTCCATGGATAGCTTCTCCAGATTTCAATGGGCACGCTTTGAGGATGGCAGAGAATGTAAACTGGTTGGGCTCAATGTCTTGGGTTAGCATTTCAACATACAAAAGAAAAGCTCGCTCGTGGAGATTGTTGATGGTGTGGCTATGGATAATGGAAGTGTAGGTAAAGACACTTGGACTTGGGGTTGATCTGAAAAGCGTGACAGAATGCTTGAGATGGCCGAGAGACGAGTAGGACCTCTGAAGCCTGAAATTCAGTATGGGGTCACAGTCAATGCCATGGCGGATAAGAAACGCATGTATTTGCAGGAGCTGTTTGATGGTTTTGGATTTATCAATGAGGAATTTAAGTCTTTCCGGTGAGGGTGAAACGCTGCTTTTGCTGGATTTGCTTGGGGAGTGTATTGGTGGGGTGGAGAACAAGGAAGCAGCAGACATGGTTTCAGCTATAGAATTTCTGAACCCTTAAACTTCAGAAGCTTATAAGAGGACAACTCATCCAAGATTCATGCGGCACCTCCTGTTTAACAGAGAAGTATAGGTATCAAACATCATTGCATACAAGAAATATATAACAGAAGAAATGAATGCATAAGACAGTCCTATGAGCAACAATGCATAAAAGCTCCTTTCTACTTCAAACTAGTGGGATTTTAACACTGTTTGATTGTCATAAACTGCGCCAGTTGCTATTGGGCTAATCGAATGAGAGTATAATTAAAGGAAGCACGCCCATATAGCATACACTTAACTTGGGCATTTTAGCAAATACTTGGTCTTCATTGCAGAAACATTTTTTAAAAACGCCAGAAACTGCCCATACACACAAGACAATGAAGACATAGAGAAAGGCGTAAGACGAGCAGATTTATGTGGCATGAAGAATTGAAGAGTAAAGCTTAAGTGAATTCCGGAACCTGCAGAGAATGCAGTGGATATCCAAGAGCTATGGAGTTGAGCCATGCGAAAACAAAAATATCAATACGATTTCTCTCAAGCCTTCTCCCCCTTCCCTTCTAGCCACTGCTTACGAGTCACAATCCTATGACTTGTGCCTATATTATCTTTTGTCATTTGTTGTATGACATTATCGACTTCTTTTTTTTTTTTTTTTTAATATACCAAAATTCGATTACAATTCAAATAAAGACGCAACACATAGTAAACTACCCACACTTCCGCTATAATATTGTAAGGCCATTCTAATTTTATACACAAAGCCTCCAACCCATTAACCAAATTTATATCATGTAACACTGATTATTGTTATTGGGCGTCTGCTAAGTTGACTGAGGTCAATCTCTGCTTGATTTGAGATGTAATGTTGTGGCTTACTATAGAAATGATTAATATTCACCTACTTATCATCAATTGATTTTAAGTATGATAGGGTAACTAGATAGTCAAAAAATTCCGTGATCTTACAACAATTACGGGATGGGTGACCGAGGAAAGGCGAGAAGTAAGTCTTGACTTGCAGCAATCACGGTGAGATCCATCAATTATTTATCAAATTAAAGCTCATGACAATTCTAACTAATATTCATTAGCACTTGCAGAGTTTAGTTAGCCTAACTCTGAAGTAACTCTAGGGTATAGTTAGCATTTTTCAAAATAACAACATTGATGATATTGGAGGTGTTTGGTAAATGACTATTAGCTGATAGTTGACTGAGTTAGTGAGTTTAACTAGTTGATAGAAAATGATTGTAGAAAAGTTTTTGGTAAATTAGTTGTTAATTGATTACATGCAAAATAACTTTCTCAAAAAATTGATTGAAAAAGCTACTTAACATTTTGGAGCAATAAATTGTTACAAAAAGCTAATTAATCAAACACTTATATTGATTGTTTAACCAAGGCAAACAACTAATAATAGTCAAATAAACCAAAATTGGCTGATAAGCTATAACTATTTTACCAAATACGGCCATTGTCAAAAATCCAAATGCATTTTGACCTATATGTATACCACCCAGGCTTCAATTTGGATATTATGTTTATGTATCCAGTTGACTTGACAAGAGGCCAAAGTTAACAACTTAACATACAAAATACAGTAACAGTCAGACCAAGAAATGATGAGAAAGAGGAGAGTTAACACGGTTTCCTTCAATCCTTCGTGCCCCCCAACTGCCTGGTGGTATTAACAGCAGACAGTATATTAACTTCAAATCTTTAATCCTCTGTATTTCTGTTTTCAGGGAGTATTATGTCCTCTGAGAAACTGAACTTGTTGGCTGCCCCAAATATTTCTGCCAGTTGCCGAATCGTTGATTGACATGTGGGACTTGTGGGGTTGACGGAATCTGGAAGGGGAGGGATGCATTCAGGGAGATATTCTGTCTTGTTGAAACTAGAAGCATAGAGCGCCAGCACTGCTCGACAGAATATAAATCTGCAATAGGCAGATAAGAAAAAAGTCATTTAATGGAATCCGAGGCTACAAGTTTTATGCTCCAATGAAGAAATCACAGCAGAAGTGTTGGCCATCAAAGTAGTTGCAGTTTCAAACCTCAAATGCTGGCACTACTATGTATAACAATTTGGAATTGGTTCCTCGACACAATGATATGACAAGGCAAGGGAAAGTAAGGATCAAGTTATTTTAAACTATTCGGTATTCAAACCTTCTGCAGTTTAGCATATCTTCACCAGTTCACCAAGTGGCAAGGAAGGGAAAAAGCGTTGAGGTACTTCTAAAAAAGGAAACAAATTATATACATAACGGAAAGAACACCATGGTACCTTAAAAGGAGTCGCCTCAGAAATGGGTCGCTTAAAATTTGAGCCCAGACGGCATTAAGATTGTCTGATGTTGCCAATAATTGACCCCACTGATTTAACGAGGATGAAAGAAGCTTCTCGGCCTTATTGAACAAATCCTGAAAACTCATTTGATACATGTTCCCATTAGAAAAAACATCACAACAATCTAATGAGACCAGGCAGCATTCTTAGCTTCATACCATTTCAACATCAGAGCCAGTAAAACCAAGCATGAGAGTGAAAGCCTGAAGAGGAGCTGCGAGGAAAATGGTGAATGAGCTTTGATTTGGCTGACGAGAGGTGTCCATGGCAGGTAGAGGGAATGAAGTGGTTGGAGATAGGAGCATGGCAACTGACTCCCCTTTTTCTGCTCCATTTAAAGCCTGTTCATATTTCATTCCTTAAAGCTGACTAGAAGATACCAACAAATTTGCTTCTAAAGCATTTTAAAAAAGGTTCAGTGTGCCCATGTGGATCCACAAAGTCGAGAAAGTGATTCTTACTCGTAAATATCATACAGCAAGGTTACTAGTTTTATAACATAATTTTCTATAAGCTTGTAATATAGTCAAATTATCATCTTAATAGCAGATGAATAAAAAAGAAATATTATGAAGAGATGCAGATAGCACAAAACACAAATGTAAAGGAGAACCACAAATAAATAAGAAACATAACCCAAAACAAATTATGGGGTACTTCTAGATTATGTAAGGGACAAAGCCAGATATATAGGAAACAGAAACTAAGAATGAACTATTTCCGTAGCATCTATGACTATGTCTTGTAATTTGTAAGCAATATGTTGACTACCATATTACTCAGACCAGAATATTCTCTGCTTAATGCAAATTGTTTCAGGTTAGTTGCTTCAATAGTTTCATCAAACTAAATCCACCGGAAAACAATTAGAAGTGCTAGAGTAAAATAAGAAACAGGACAATGATATTAGGAAAAAGCAACCTAATAGCTCACATAATTTGAAAGCTCAGAGAACAATTAAAACACAAAACATGTATCGCCTTCCAAAATAGTTAATCATGTTTATGTCTTTAATTGCAAACTCATGATATATATTACAGAAAGGGTCTTGCCTTGAAATCTCCACTAATGTTGCTGTCAATCACCAGGAAAAGTGGCTTTCTTGTAAATGGCAGCAAGTCACAGGGGAAAACATCATTCAAACCTATATAAGCAAAATAAATAAATAAATAATTATTTCAGTATAGGGATATCACATGGCAGAGAGAAGAGACAGATGTGGATAAGGTATAAAATATGAAGGAGTATTTCAAAGATGCATCTAAAGAATACTGAATGTACATCACCATATATTTATTTCAAAGAAAAAAAAAATCAGTCCTAATATTAGAACTGGCAACTGAAGTGCTGAAATATTCACTTTGTATATAGTTGTTATTATATAATCTAAGATTAGGCGAAAGTCACTCATCTAGTAGGCTCTAATGCTTCATGGGCCAAACCACACTAAAAGACTGAATCCAATCAATTAGCTAGTCTAACCCATGGTCTTATAAACCCATATGTTCTCTCTTATTTTTTTCAATGTGGGACTCTTAACAATAGTCTTCAATTAGACTAACAACTGCTAAACAGCGTAATGTTTGAATTGAGTAAACAAATGCTCAGAACAAAAGTATAAGGCTCCAGTATTAAAATGTCCTAAAGTGTGAGAAAGCACTTTATAGGAACCTAGTTAGGGCTCAAAAAAACTAGTATCAGTTTCCATTTATTGACCAGTGAACCATTCAGCTTTCAATTGATAGATAAACTTCATAGTGTCAAAAGGAAATATTACTATAAATATAAATTTGCAACTACATAACATCTATCAGATGTATATTTCATAACCAATTCTAAGGCTTCAAAGGATGATATGTATACCTCCACCACCTCGAGAGCCAATATGTAATCCACCACTATGACGACTTAAGGGGTCCTCTTTGGCAGAAGCAGGATTTGAATTATCATATTCAGGGTTCAGGGGAGATGTGGATGCAGATTCAGAGTCATTGAATTGAGACTGGAAGCCCCTGAAAATGTTTTCTGGAATGCCCAAAGAAGCTCCACTATGAGACAGGGATGAAACATAGTTTTGACAGCTTCCTGATTCATCAAGAATATTAATGAGTAGCTAGTATGCAACCTCAAATTTTAAAATAAGTAACTTAGTGACACCAGAAAGATGTTTTGCAACCACCAATTACCTGAAGCTGATAGATATATTAAGAGTACACCATCTGGAGGAAGCTCCTCGCAGGTTGTTGCCAAAACCTATCCACAGATGTAAATTTAATGTTAAAACAGAACAAAGTTTGGAGAGTATCTTTCCTAGAAAATACATGCAAATGCAATCAAGTAGATACTCCAAAAGTTTAATAGTTAATAAACCTCCAAAACTAGGAGTCTACTAGCAGGTGTCAGTGTGTCACTACATTGATCTCAATAACTAAAGAGAAATATATCATAATTCAAAATCAAGAAAGAATGAAAGATCCGAGTAAGCCTCCCAAACTTCAGAAAATATTACTTCAATCAACATGTTTAGGAAATTCGCCAGTAATAGCCACATAAGCCACCTACTTGGAGGAAGATAATTGACAGGTGAATACTCACTGCTATAAAACTTGTAAGGGTTGGGCGGTATAAAATGGCTTTGCGTGGGTTAGGAGGCAAAGTAGGATCAATTATATCTTGTGAATAGTTAACACAACTAGGCCCAGGAGTTCCATTCTGGCCAGTGCTAGATCCAGCCCCAGATGAAGGAGCTCCACTTGTCTGGTAAAATGAACCACTGGGTTCCCACTCCAGACATTGTAGCATTCTGAAAGTGTCAAGAGTCAGTTCTGAGAATTTGACCTGAGCAACAAATCAAAAGATAGATGGAATCATCACTGTCCACTGAACAAGGGTTGCAAGACAGTCACAAATCACCCATTTACACAGGCAAATGGCATGGCAAGTTATTGCTGATATTTCCAAAAGAAGAGAATTTTTATTCATTGCACTGACCTCATTAGGATGGTAACTGCACAATATTGCATCTCTTAACCTCAGCTTTCTCTTTGCTTCAACGACATGTGGCAGACAATCTATATGAAGGTCCACTGCAACACTATACCTCAACGGTCTGATATTCATAAAAGCTGTGTCAGCTTTTAGAAATTTAACTATTTCCTGAATCACCACCTTCCATTCTTTAAAATCAGTTTCCTGGAAATAGGACAATTTAGAGGCCTTTAATCAAGACTGAGAAAGTATCAACTTAGTTCTTTTGCAAAATGGACAGTAAGTAAATAGGGATCTCTTTGGCTAGCTAATCCACCTAAATTTCAATCAATAAATATCTTGAAGAAATGGTTCAATAGCCATACACGGATAAATCATTGCTCATACCTAGAATAGCATCATTACAGTTCATTATAGTATGAATTAATTTTAGCATTGGTTGAGATCCAGTTGATTTGCACTTGTTTGTTATGAAAAACTAAATCTAGAAAAGCATAAGTGTCTTAATTTTTACTTCTAGTTTCAATACACCAGTTCTTTTTTGACAAAATCTTCACTCCAAATGATGGATTATCTCCTATAAATGTGTGTATCAGTTGTGGACACCTCAAAGTTGGAAATGCATGTAATTGCCTGCATCTGAACATGCCACCTAAATTTGGTAAGGCAGCTGACTGAATATTATAAAATCACCCTTTGTGGTTTTCACAAAGCATTGAAAGATTAGGCGACAATACAAAATCTGGTAACTACCTAGGAATATGATAATCATTTCCTAAACTCTCCACTTCAAATAGTGATTTCATCTAGCATGAAAATTCAATTGAGCAGTCAAATCACCAACTAATGTATAAAGCTCGCCTTTAGACTAAAATTTACATAGACTAAAACAATATTTGAGCATGCAAGGAAATATGACCTGGAATGCCCTCTTGCATTCATCAAGCAACATTTTGAGCTGATTTACCAACTGGTACACCATCTCTCGTCGATTCAACACCAAACAGACAGTAAGAAATCGAGAAATAAGCCTCAATTGTTTGCAGGCAAGATTAACATCCTGGAACATCCCATCTTTGAAGTACTCCCTAGTCAAAACTGCCTCATAAAATATATAAGACTCAGATAAATAACTGGCCTCACTAGTCCTCATATACTGCCCAAAGTAAAGCTGACCAATCCGAGATGCAATATCCCCTATCTCCCATCTTTTGAGGCCTGCTTCCACCAGTTTCTGTCTATTCTCTTGTTGGAACTTCCACAACTGTGTATAAACCTTGAAAACTTTGGAGAAGTATGTATCATACCTATCAATCGAAATCCACAGTATATATGAGAATTAAGCACAATTCGCAACTAAAATCAAACCAATCACATATATTTTGCAAATTACCAATAAAAGTTCATAGAGTCCAAATACTTTGTTTAAAATCCCCAAACTGAATGATAAATTGTTAACATCATTAGAAAATCCAAAATAGATCAACACGCCTCATTCTAACATTATTAGCACACTAAATAGTTAATAATCAGTTTTTTTTCTAGTAAAATACCCACTCAACTTTGAGTATGACCGTCTTAGATAAGAATTCTTATATAAATCCAAAATTATCCTTAATCCTCCATTCCTCCAATACAAACAAAAGTTAATAATGTCTAATAAAGCTTATTTCTATGAAATCCCAAATGGATATCACAAAAAACTTCATACGAGCTTGCACATATTCATAGCATAGTGATCCAGCATATATTCTAAATTAAGTAATTACAACTCCTGAGTTCCTTGTGTTAATATACTATAGTACTATACCTAGATAAACTATAAGTTCAGTGCCGTCTAATGTTCGAGAGAAGAACGTTCTTTCAGAAATTGTTCAGCTCACTTGGAACTCAATACATGGCGATTGGGAAGTTCTTTCAGCTATAATAAACCAACAGAAAATTGGCAGTCCTAACTGAAAAGTTTGATGTGTAATAAAAAGGTGAGGAAAAAACCGGTTGCGATGGTAATACGGCAAATCGCGAATCTTCGAGAACTTCTTGTCGGCCTTGGCAACCAGAGTCCAGTACACTTCGCTCACCGGAATGTTGCCGCTGCTACTGCTGTTAATGCCGGGGTGATGGTGATGGTGATGTGACATGTCTATGCCTTGCTTCATTTCCTGTTCTGCAATCGTATAGTATCGATTTTCACTCTTTCAACGAGCAAGCCATGGAGCTTGAACAGATTGCTGGCTGTTGAAATGAAAGTCCGGGAGAGAAGGGAAAGGAGCGACGCGGGCCCGGCGCCGAAGCAAATAGAAATGCTTGAAAATATGGAAATTAGCTTTGTGCCCCCAAAACTTTTGGAAAATTCGGTTAAGAACATCAAATTTCTCAAAATATCTTGTTGTATGGTTCTTTTTTTTTTTCCCTCCTTTTGGAAAATTATGACATTTTAGTTTGTGGTCCGAGATGTTGTGAATTTAATAATAATAATAGTAATATTATTATTAGTAAGATGCAATACAATAGTAGCTATATTAGCTCAGTGAAAGGAAGAGAGGATTGCTATATTTCTTATATATTGCTTCTGATGTGTTTTTGATACAAGGAGTGAATGGGGTATTTATACTATCAGGACTAGGAATAAACAAATATATAATTTGCATAGCATGGATAGATGTTGAAGCTAGTTTAGTTGGTTACTCAGCATGTAGCTTTACCTTGTTATATATTAGTGCATGTGTTCCATTCCCAACAGCTACAATTTTGACTTGAGTATTGTGCTCATCAGGAGCAAGAACATTCCTTCTTGTTGATCAGGACATGGGAAAAAGAGTACAATAATAAGATCAGGACATGGGAAAAAGAGAGTACAATAATAAGATCAGGACATGGGAAAAAGAGTACAATAATAAGATCAGGACATGGGAAAAAGAGTACAATAATAAGATGACGCATACCACGGACTGTAGTCGTAGGTAATGCTTTGGTGAACAAACGAATCTGTTGAATAATGATTTCACCTTTCTTCTGGAGGTCATGAGTGAAGAAGAATTTTGGTGAAATGTGTTTTACTCTGTCTCCCTTGATGTATCCCTCCTTTAATTGAGCGATACATGCTGCATTATCTTCATATATTGTTGTTGGAGTATCATCTAACAGTAAACCACATGCTCCTCTAATATATCGAGTAATTGATTTAAGCCATACACACTCCCGGCTTGCTTCATGGACAGCAATTAGTTCAGCATGATTTGAAGAAGTGGCAACAATGGTCTGCTTAGTGGAACGCCAAGATATAGCAGCACCTGCACTTATAAACAAATAACCAGTTTGGGATCGCGCTTTATGCGGATCCGAAAGGTACCCGGCATCTGCATACCCAACCAAGTCACATTTGGAATCTTTTGTATAAAATAATCCCAAATCAATTGTTCCTTGGAGGTAGCGAAATATATGTTTGATGCCATTCCAATGTCTTCTTGTTGGACAAGAACTATACCTTGCCAGCAAATTAACAGAAAATGCAATATCAGGCCTTGTGTTGTTAGCAAGGTACATTAGTGCGCCTATTGCACTAAGATATGGTACTTCCGAACCAAGGATTTTTTCATTATCCTCCCGAGGTCGGTAAGGATCCTTTTTCACATCAAGAGTTCGAACCACCATTGGACTACTCAATGAGTGAGCCTTGTCCATATAAAATCTTTGAAGAACTTTCTTGGTATAATTTGATTGATGAATAAAGATACCTTTATTCAAATGTTCAATCTGTAAACCAAAGACAAAATTTTGTTCTTCCAAGATCTTTCATTTCAAATTCATTTTTCAAATAATCTACTGTTTTGGGAATTTCCTCAGGAGTCCCGATGATATTCATATCATCAACATAAACAGCGATTATGACAGATCCATGCCCAGATCTTTTTATAAAAACACATGGACAAATTTGATCATTGGTATAACCTTCTTTCAGTAAATATTCACTAAGTCTGTTATACCACATGCGCCCTGATTGTTTTAGTCCATATAAAGACCTTTGTAACTTTATCGAGTAAAGTTCTCGAGGGCTTGTTTTATGCCTTTCAGGCATTTTCAGTCCTTCAGGGACTTTCATGTAAATGTCATTATCAAGTGACCCATACAGATAAGCTGTTACAACATCCATTAGTTGCATTTTTAATCTTTCATGCACAGTTAGGCCAATGAGGTATCGTAATGTTACAACATCCACAACAGGTGAATATGTTTCATCATAATCGATACCTGGTCTTTGAGAGAATCCTTGTGCTACGAGTCTTGCTTTATACCTCGTAACCTCATTGTTCTCATTTCTTTTTCTTACAAAGACCCATTTGTATCCCACAGCTTTTACCTCTTTAGGTGTTCGGACGATTGTGCCAAATACTTTTCGTTTTTCAAGCGAATTCAATTCTGCTTGAATTGCTTCTTTCCATTTAGGCCAATCGTCCCTATTTTGACATTCATGAATGGATCTTGGTTCATGATCCATATCATCATTCATGATACTCAATGCTACATTATATGCAAAACAGTCATTCACAATGACTTCATTTCTATTGCATATATCTTCAGCATTAGTATAATTCATCAAGATCTCTTCATTTTTCTCAATTTTTGGCGAATGAATCTCTTTAGGAATTTCATTCCTTTCATACTCATTTTTATGAGTTTTCTCATTTTTCTCACAAAGATCATTCTTTGTATTGACCTTTCTTTTTCGAGTATTTTTATCCTTCGAACCAATAGGTCTTCCACGCTTTAAGCGTACTTGAGATTCATTCCCAGTTTGATCTTTTGGAATGTCAATACTAGCAGGAACATTAGCTGCTGGGATATAAGATTTTGTTACCCTTTTCGGATCAACAAATGCGTCTGGCAGTTTATTTGCCAATTCATGCAACTGAATTATCCTTAGAACTTCTTGTTCACATTGTTGAGTTCTAGGATCTAGATGAAGCAATGATGGAGTATTCCAAGTCAATTTCATCTCCACAACTTTATTTTCTCCTTTCAATGTTAGAAAGGATGCTTCATCAAAATGGCAATCTGCAAATCTTGCAGTAAACATATCTCCCGTTAATGGCTCAAGATATTTAATTATCGAGGGAGATTCATAGCCAACGTATATTCCCAATCTCCTTTGAGGACCCATTTTAGTCCGTTGTGGTGGAGCAATAGGGACATATACTGCACAGCCAAATGTTCTCAAATGAAAAACATTAGGTTCCTGACCAAAGGCTAATTGCAATGGAGAATACTTATGATAACTTGTCGGCCTAATTTGAATTAGCGCCACTGCATGCAAAATAGCATGCCCCAATGCATTTGATGGGAGTTTACTTTTCATAAGTAATGGTCTAGCTATCAATTGTAGCCTTTTGATAAGTGATTCTGCTAGACCATTTTGCGTATGAACATGCGCTACCGGATGTTCAACGTCAATCCCAAGTGATATACAATAATTATCAAAAGCTTGGGATGTAAATTCTCCAGCATTATCCATCCGGATTGATTTAATTGGATGGTCAGGAAAATGGGCTTGCAATTTTATTATTTGTGCAATCAATCTCGCAAATGCCATATTACGAGATGATAATAAGCACACATGCGACCATCTAGTTGACGCATCAATCAGGACCATAAAGTATTTAAATGGTCCACTATGTGGATGTATCGGTCCACATATATCACCTTGAATTCTTTCAAGAAATGCCGGTGATTCTATACCAACTTTGGTTGGTGATGGCCTTATTATTAATTTCCCTTGAGAACATGCAGAACAGAAGAATTCATCTGTTCGAAATATTTTATGTTCCCTCAAGGTATGGCCATTTGTGCTTTCGATGATTTTTCTCATCATCACATATCCTGGATGACCCAATCGGTCGTGCCAAATCTTAAAATCATTTAAATCAGTAAACCTTTCGTTTACTATAAGATTGACTTCGATTGCACTTATTTTTGTGCAATATAATCCAGAGGGAAGAGCATGGAATTTTTCCATCGCATATTTCTTTCCCGATATTACCTTTGTAATTTGAAGGAATTCTTGATTCCCTTCTTTTATAGTCTCAACGTGATATTCATTTTTTCGAATATCTTTAAAGCTCAACAAATTTCTTTGAGACTTTGGAGAGAACAATGCATTGTCAATCATCAATTTTGTTCCTCCAGGCAATAATATATAGGCTTTTCCAGAGCCTTCAATCATTTTTGCACTACCACATATTGTAGTGACATATCCTCATTTCTTTTCAAGAGGTTAAAATATTTTTCTCTTTTGAGAATTGTATGTGTGGTTGCACAATCCACAATACATACATCTTCTTCATCTACCTTAGATTTTATCACAAGTGATGATATATTCATCTTATTTCTTCAACAAGTACAAAACAAAGAAATAACATATATTAGAAATATTACAAGGATAGCAAGAAGGAACTAACAGGTCTCCAAGATAAAAACATCAGACTTGATGTTCAACTGGCTCAATGAAATCTTCCACATTCAGCTGTGTGATATCAAAATCGTTATCCATGAAAACATTGTTGGACTCTATATTTTTCTCTTTTCCTTTCAAGGAAGCTTGATAGAGATCCACAAAGTGATTTGATGTACGACAAGTGCGTTCCCAATGGCCAGTCTTGCCACAACGATAACATATACTTTCATTCTTGGGATAATTTTCACGCTTTTCCTTGTCATATCTTGCACCAGCACTTTCCCCTTTTCGGTGGTAACTTTTATTTTTGAAGTTTTGACCATCATAACGATTTTGACCACGACCGGGATTTTTACCACGGTATTTTCCATGACGACGACTGCGTCCATGGCCACGACCACTGCCCTTTGTATTTTCATTATACAATGATACCTCATTCACTTCAGGGAATGGGTTTGAGCCAGTAGGGCGTGACTCGTGATTTTTCAACAACAGCTCATTATTTTGTTCAGCCACCAGAAGGCATGAAATCAATTGAGAGTATTTGGTAAAACCTTTCTCTCTATATTGCTGTTGCAGCACCACATTTGATGCATGAAATGTGGAGAATGTTTTTTCAAGCATATCTTCATCAGTAATTCTTTCTCCACATAGCAACAACTGAGAGGTAATTTTGAACATAACAGAGTTATATTCACTCACAGTTTTGAAATCTTGCAATCGCAAGTGAAGCCAATCATAACGGGCTTTTGGGAGAATTACTGTTTTCTGGTGATCATATCTTTCTTTCAGATCTTTCCAGAGTTGACAGGGTTCTTTCACAGTAAGATATTCATCTTTTAACCCTTGGTCTAGGTGATGGCGAATGAAAATCATCGCCTTTGCTCGATCTTGCATCGACGCATCACTATTTTCTTTTATAGTTTCACCAAGACCTTTTGCATTTAGATGCATCTCAGCATCCAGTACCCACGACAGGTAATTTTTCCCGGATATATCAAGTCTCACAAATTCAAGATTTGTAAGGTTTGACATATTGGTAATATTGAATAAAATATTATAATTATTTAAAGAAAGATTACCTCTGTAATAGCTGCACCCGAAACTTCGTGCTGATAACGTGTTGTGAATTTAATAATAATAATAGTAATATTATTATTAGTAAGATGCAATACAATAGTAGCTATATTAGCTCAGTGAGAGGAAGAGAGGATTGCTATATTTCTTATATATTGCTTCTGATGTGTTTTTGATACAAGGAGTGAAGGGGGTATTTATACTATCAGGACTAGGAATAAACAAATATATAATTTGCATAGCATAGACAGATGTTGAAGCTAGCCTTGTCATATATTAGTGCATGTGTTCCATTCCCAACAGTTACAATTTTGACTTGAGTATTGTGCTCTTCAGGAGCAAGAACATTCCTTCTCCTTCTTATGTTTGTGCTCCTGCTCTTTCTCCTTCTTTAAAGCAAGATCAGACTTGCTCCTTCTAGAGCAAGATCAGGACATCCACATTTTCCTTATTACATAACACGAGACACTTTTTTTTTTTTGCCAAGTAGGATCTCCCTTCCCTGAACTCAAAATTTATAATGAGTTAATTCCAGCAATGGTCCTCCGATTATTGTGATTTTCCAAAATTGGTCCTCGTTTTTTAATTTGGACGAATTAGACCCCTGACTATTAAATTTGTTCCACTATTGGTCCTTCCGTTAACATGACGTTACAAAGTCGTTAAATTTTGACATTAATGTTTGGATATAACAAATTTATATCAATTTTATAATATATGTTTGGATATAGCACTTAATTATTGAGTGTATTAAGATAATAATATTTGAGTAGATATAATCACCTAGACATTAATAATCATTTCATTACACAAATTAAGTATAATACCTCTACAACTCGACTCATTAAAGTTACAGACAAACCTCTATGGTCCTAAACACGTGTCAAGTCATGAGAAGACAATCTCAATGAGATTGTGCAATGTGAACACATTAAACCACAAGCTAATACTAATTGTACAAGCTACCCATTATTTTTATATTGGATACAACTGAAACTCAAATTACCTTTATATATATGAAATAATGAACTTTACCATGAAAAAAAAAATGAAAATCTATTTAGATTGTTGTGCACTATATATTTTATACACGCTATAATTTGCAAACTTAGCATCCTTAGTTGGGCATTTGTCAAACTTAACCTAATCACTATATTGCAAGTAATAAATGAAAATTGCATGTTACTTGCAAATTCAGACACAATTTATTTATTTTATATAAAAAATACATTTTTTAATGAAAATAGTCCGCGATAACGCCACTATAATGAATACTTTACAACTTTAGTTATTAATATTAAAATATGATGAAATTATTTATAAGTAATAATAATTAGCAAAATCAAAGATAAAACTTGTATTAGTTTTGTTTAAAAAGTACTCCGTATAATATTACTCAAAAACTAGGTTTATTAAGCTATCTGCACCCATAATAATTGAGCAATTGCAAAATCTATGTTTTTTTTTTTTTTTTTTTTTTTTTTTTTTTTTTTTGGTGCTAACGTGTTGCCATTCTCACACCGGACAATTACAACACAATTACAACAATTGCAATTCATGTGTCAAAATTGCAGCTAGCATACTTTTTGATTTTTTAATTTAATTGTTATAATAATAATAATTTGATTGATAACAAATAAAATTTTGAGTTGTTAATAAAGTAATATGACAATGAGACTACTTTTGAAAGATTAGAGAGGAATTTGACGACGAACTTAAAAAGCCACATACAAACGCTTTACGCCCAATCATTCCATATAACCCTTGCATCCTCTATGTTACCGCTGCTGCTAGCTGCTTATTCCCCAGATTTACATGATGAAATAAGTGCCACATATGCCATTGAACTACACACGAAATTGTAATTGGGCCATCGAGCAAAAAAAAGTAAAAAAATGAATCATTGAACAACGCAAAATAATGAAATTGAACCAAATATGACATGTTTATCTATTGATGGCTGACATGGCGGTTACCAAATTTAAAAATAATTGTATTTAATTTTTATTTTAATAATTTTAAATTAAAAAAAAAACAATTGTCGGGCCTCTTCGTCTCCAAGTTGCCGGAGACGATGAGACCTCCGTCTTCGGAAGCCCGGAGACGAAACCCTTCGTCTCCATGCTGCCAGGAGACGTTTAAAAAAATACGTCATACCTCTTCGTCTTCGACAGCTTGGAGACGAAAATACCTCTTCATCTTCGAATTGCCGGAGACGACGAGACCTCGTCGGGGAGACGAAGGGACTCTCCGTCTTCGTTTCTAAGCTGCCGGAGACAGAGATGGTCTCTTCATCTTCGGTAGCCTAGAGACGAAGGGATTCTTCATCTCTGGCAGTTCGAAGTTTTTTTTTTTTTTTTTTTTTTTTTTTAAATTAAAATTTAAAATTATTAAAATAAAAATGTTAAAAATAATTTGATAACCACAACGACAGTCATCAACATATAAATATGTCATTTTTTGTTCAAGTACATTATTTTACGTTGTTTAGGGATCTAATTGTAACGTTTTTTAGGGATAAATAATAAATAATTACAAATTTTATAGTATATAATAATAATAATAATAATAATAATAATAATAATAATAATAATATATTTTAAAAGTGAGAGAAGATTACAAAGCTACGAATAATCTTATATTTTACTCTGTATCACTTTTCCAAACTAAAATATTACAAGTCCTGCAATTATTAAATAGCAAATTAGCAAGTAATATTCGGAAGCCGCGCGGTTTACTTACACAATTAGACACAACCTCTCTATTCTATTAAAAACAGCATTTCGCCGCGAAGATGACCGGCGGCGATGCCTCTACGACGACGGAACACTTCGCCGCCGCCTGCTGTATATCGCACGAATTCAACAGACGCGCTTCACTGAACCCAAACAGGATTGCGGTGATACACGCGTGCGGTGGTGCTCGAATAGCCCGAGAATTCCACCGCATTCACAAAAACGACAGTGATGAGCAAACCATAATCGACTTTGATGAGTTCATATCCGAGAAAACGACTTCGCTTCGCCCTACAGTTTACGAAGGCGACAGATGCTTCACCTTCTCTGACATTCTCTCCGCGGTCGATTCTCTCAGCTCAAGGCTCCGCCGGATTCTCGACGGTGCTAATGATTCCCACCTTATTAAACCTCGTTCAGGTATTCATGCTCCTGCAAGTGATCGTGCATTAGTTGATTAATGACGGATGAGTTGTAGAACATGTAATTAAGTGGTTCAACGTATTAAGCAATCCGTAAACATTAAGCATATGTTGGTTCAGTTGCATTACAGAATTAGCTCCACTCCGTATTCTTTGTTTATGTTTTAATTTGTAATTTCCTTTATTCTAAGCTCTGGTTTATGTCTGACTGTTATAGAATTCGTTGTCAACATTACATTGCAGATACTGCCTAATTCTTAACCTACACGAGTTATTGCAGGCAATGGTGTTCTTAGGGATCATTTAGTACAAGTTGAGAATTCTGAATCTCTGGAGTCGAGTGCGCAGCAGTTTAATGAACTTCAGAAGGCATATACTCCAAGAGTAATAGGAGTTTATATGGAACCATCTATAGAATATATTATTACTGTCCTCTCTGTACTGAGATGTGGAGAGGCTTTCATGCCTTTGGATCCATCTTGGCCTAAAGAAAGGATATTATGGGTACTATCTTCTTCAAAAGCCAACCTTCTTGTTGGTTGTGGGTCTTCAGTTGACAGTAATTTTCACCAGCTTGATAAGTTAGATTGGCTTATTGATGATGGGAGCTGTCCTATATTTCGTATATCTATGGAAGATTACATTCAAAAGAAAGTTTGTGATTCATCGCATTTAGTCTGGCCTTGTGAAAGAGAAAGGTTGAGATCATTCTGTTACTTGATGTACACTTCTGGGTCTACTGGGGAGCCTAAAGGTGTATGTGGCACTGAAGCAGGTGAAAATTCTTTTGGTTCATGTGTTAGTTGGCACTCTTCCATTCCATTTTACTGTACTAGGTATTCCGTCAATACTTTGCAGGTCTTCTGAATCGCTTTTTATGGATGCAAGAATTGTACCCCTTACAGCTAGAAGATTTGTTGCTCTTCAAAACATCAATAAGCTTTATCGATCATTTGCAGGAATTTCTGGGAGCTCTACTTGCTACTTGTACGTTGGTTATACCTCCCTTCAATCAGCTGAAAGAAAATTTGTTCTATATTGTCAATATTTTACAGGTATATCTGCAAAATTAATTGTTCTTAAAAAAAATTCTTTTTGACCTATCAATGTATGAAGGAAAAACCTTAGTCCTTTCTTTCACTTGTTTCCCAGTTATCATAGACAACCCATTATACAAATCTATGAACTGAACACTTTCAATATGGCTATGCAGGAGTATTTGATTGGCAGGATCGTAGCCGTTCCATCATTTATGAGGGCAATACTTCCTGCATTGGAAAGTGCATATTTTAGGAGAATTCAAAGTTCTTTGAAAGTTTTAGTGTTAAGTGGCGAAACTTTCCACCTGTCCCTGTGGAAGATCCTTGTGAAGATACTCCCTCAGACTGCTATTTTGAATTTATATGGGAGTACAGAGGTAGGTTTTTGTTAATGTTCCCACTGGACGAGGATTCATAGCTAGATCTTCCTTGCCAGTGATTATTTTAGTTCAAGATTAGCTATTCCTTAACCCAATGGTTTCAAATTTAGGTTTCTGGTGATTGTACGTACTTTGATTGTGAGAGTTTACCTCTCATCTTGGAGCATAAGAGTCTGAGTGGTGTTCCGATTGGCTTGCCTTTGCAAAGCTGTGATGTTCTTCTCCTTGGAGATGATGATCCCAATGAAGGAGAAATATGTGTTAGTGGACTCTGCCTTTCAGCTGGATACTTTTGTTATCCTTCTGTTTTGCCATTGGACTATGTAGAGTTATCTCAGAACCATGACAGCAAGAGCACTGATCATAGAGTTCAACAATATT